CGACAGACACAGTTTATTAACAGAAAATAAACAAAGTGTCCAGAAAAAAGGGAATCAAGTGTCCAAAATAAACAGGGGGTCTGGTGTCCTCGTCGTGCTGCAGGGTTCATGCAGGGAAGGGCAGTGGTCAGGAATCTGCCCACGGCGCTTGCCCGACGGCCGTGTAACGGGTGCGGTTCTCATCCGGACTGCGGGTCCGGCAGCTCACGACTCTGGCGGCACGGGAGTTCCTCTACGCACCCCTCCTGGACCCACGAGAACACCAGCGTGCGTGCACGGGGAAGAGACCGGTCTCTTGAGGAGAGGCGTGCTCGGCATTTAAACAGTGGCGGCGATGAGGCTCCATTCGAAGCAGATAAACATCACATTTTCATTTTTGGGTGAACTATCTCTTTAAGCTACATACTTATTGCGGTATTTAAAAAATTAATATCATAACAAAAATAAACACCGGTATTCGGTATGAACCGGTATACCGCCCAGCACTAAATACAATTGTTTTAAATAATGCTTCACATTTCAGCTATTCATTGATTTCCTCTTTAATTTATGTGACTCTGTTAGATCATAAAGTTTCGTGTATACTATAGAATTTGGAACTGAAAAAACACACAGAAAACATGTCAAGTGTTAGCAAAGCTAAAATATGCAGATAAATGTAAACAGGTTCAAATAAAAGGTGTTATATTAAATATATATCCTTTAAATAGGCTAAAGAGCAGCAAATTCTGATCACCTCAAAACTCAACATTTTTCATCCGTTTCTAAGAACTAGCTCATTCAGCCACAAATAAACAAGCAAATCAAGCAAGTCAAATTCTCTTTTTAACCATATTGTGCTTTCACACAGATGAAGGAACATTACATGCATTTCAAAGATTGCTGTCAGTTCCGAGACATAAACTGTTGGACCCTGGTGTGTTGAATGGGTATTTTTAGTCCTCTAACATTAATATTCCTGTTCCCAATCCTGTGGTTGATGGATGAACTCTATATCCAGAAGAACAAATAATAAAAAACTCAAAAACTGAATGTGAGGGGAAGAAGTGTAACTAGGAATTAACAAAAGCAAACATACCATTGGTTGGGTGTCGCGCAAATGAGATAGAAAATCTTTTTACAGCAGAACCACGCGTAGCCTCTGAGAAAGAGAAAAACAGGTACCTGAAATGTATAAGAGCTAACAGAAAGAGGGTTAAAGAAGGGCTAACGAAGGCAAGAGTGCATTCTCATCATCCTGCATGTCATGCAGGAAAGACGCGGAGGAGTGCTTGTGTTAAGTGTTCGGACAGCCATAGGCATAGTGATTAAAAACAACAAACAAACAAATCGTTCTGCTTTTCAATATGAAAGCTTTCCCTTCTGTTCAAGAAAACACCCCATATTAACCCTAGAATGCATAATGGGGGTTAATTTGACACGATAGAGCAGTAGTTTTCAATTCTGGTCTTGGGGATATATCTCACACCTGATTCAGTCACCAGAAGACAGCAGCTCGCTAAACTGACCACAGGTGTCACCCAAGAAAGTCCCCAGGACCAGGACTGAAAACCACTGAGATAGAGTGTGCTTTTTTATTTTTGCAAATTAAAATTCAAACAAAATACATTCATATCAAATTTGACTACTACTACTAGGGCTGCACGATAAATCAAAATGGATGACAGAAGTTAGACAGAAGCTGCGATTGTCATGCGTATCTTTCAGTGAAGCACGGTTCTGTGATCAGCAGTAAATCTCCATCCGAAGGCCAGAGGGCGCTCTCGCACTGAAACCCCAAATACGCCTCGCAGAAGAAACCCAGAATATGCCTATCGCTGCAGCTGAATAAACAGAAGATTCAGCTGCTTTCATTGATTCAACGTGACTAATAAACACACGACTACGGTCGGCAATATACGGTTTATCTGAGTTCTTATTATTATAATTTTCATTAAAATAAAGTATATTTATAATGCATAGCCTTTATCAATGCTTAAATACTATGAAATATGTTGAGTGTCTTCTGTGTAAGTAGCCACATCATCTCACAGAAGGACTGACGTTATGAAGTGAGTTTGGAGGAAAAATATGTTATTAAATTAGGTATTTTCACATGCTTTCAGATGGAGCAGCATTTACTACACAGAGCCGTAGTTCACTGAGAAGCTATGCAAACAGCTTTCATAATCGCAGAACGATTTCTTTGATTTCATAATCGCACAATAATATCGTCTGCGATTTTTTTTGTGTAGCTTGTCAGTGAACTACGGCTCTGTGTAATAAACGCTGCTCCATCTGAAAGCACGTGATGATTATTTCCTGCTCATTACAGAACCGGCTTTACTAACAAAATGCGCATGACAGACACATTCGATTAATAACTACTACTACTAAAAAGAGCTGATTTATACTCCATGGATTACTTAAAAGTTTGGTTTTAAAATTTCATATTTCATATCAGTCAAAAGTCACATCTGAGTGAATGTTAAAAACTACAAGGAACAGGGCAACAGGCATGTTCAAACTTTTGACTGGTACTGGTCTCAGGCCATTAAACGGAGTAAAATGTCCAAAAGCTAAAGGCGGAAATCTTTGTGCAAGATGTTAATGCAAACAGCATTACATTAGGACCCTGATATTATGTTAGGGCCCCTCTCGGACCGCCACGGTGAAGGGTTTGTTACACTGCCATTGGATCTTGGAATAACACACACAAACACCCAGTGCCATATGATAAAGACGACCCCATTTCACCCATCGTGACTCTCTAGGTTCAGCATGGCTATGTACTGGCCCTGCAGCAGAAGTGGCTGAAACTAAACCTCCACATACTTTCTTACACAAATGGATATAAATAGATGCGTACATGATTCAGGGGTCGGCCGACATTGGCACACAGAGGAGTAATCACTGTATACACCTGCAGACTGATCAACACTGATTTATGCATTGGAAATGTATCTGATTGAGGTCCTGCTAGCAATATTTTTGGAAAGATCTGATGCATCATGATAACTTGTGACTGAGCCCAGAGGATTTTTCAAATAATTTTGATGTCTTGTGTGAAGATGGCTGCCTCTGCAAGGATCCGTTATATAATCTGCTAAAGTTGCTAGTAAATTAATATCTCACATAAATACATGTTTGCTACAACTAATTATGCTGAACTGTATTTTTGGTATGGTATATAGGAAATGAACAACTGAACATTATCACTAAATATTAATGTTTTTGTGTATAATCAGATTCTTAAATGATTTAATTACACTGAAAAATAAAAACAGGATTCGTAGAAAAAAATCCACTTAATCCAAAACAGCCCCCATTATGCATTCATGTAGGTTTTTCAGGTTTTCATGCATTCTAAGGTTAAAGTGATATCGTTGCTATGCTTTCTTTTCTGATCCACAACAGCACTGCTGCTCCATGAACACATCTACAACAGTCTTGATTCACAACACTAATTAGCCATCGAATCTCAGATTTACACAAAATCATTTTTCCACATTTCACATAAAAAAAAAAAAACACAATCAGGACATAAAAGGTATGTTGAGTTCAATTTCTCCTCAAATAACATTAGTCAAGCTACAAACTTAGAATGATTTGAAGTCACTTGTTGCATTATTATAGCTGCACTAAAAAGCTTCCCACTGAACGGTTTCTATCACTGACCCTGCAACTAGTGACTAAAATGAGGTTTTTGGCTTTCACAGAAAGATGAAACGTCAGACTGGGCATGTCAACAGAACAGAAACTAGCCTCTTGGATAGGAAGATACTGTCTGCCTCTTTCACTGATCCAGATATTGTGCACAATGCAGACCTGTCTGCCCCATTCAGGTAAGTTTATTATTAAAATAAATAATAATTGCATACGAGAAATCAATGTTACCAAAAATCTCAACAGTTTATATATATATATATATATTTCATTCAATGTTAACAAAATATCCATACATAAATCTGTTCAAACCATTCTTGCCTTACTCTAACTGGGGATTGACTTGCCGGGAGATTTCTGGCTTCCATGATTTGTCATAAGATGTTTATGTCAAGTCTGTATTCAGAGATGATGCAGGTGTGGAGAAGGGAAATACAGTAAACCCAGAACACTACCATAGTGTACTCAAATAATAATAATAATAAAAAGCAAAACTGTCATTTTGAATTTTAGTTTCTGCTGTAGAGTTTCAGCCAATAATTTTGGAGTATCAACAACAGACAGATCAACAAATTACATAAAACTGCCTTGTATGCACTGTAATGAATTAAAACAAAAAATTTAAATTTACTAAATGAAGTTAATGTCACCAAATTCTGACTAAGTTAAAGTCTAAATTAAATCTGTTCATCATATAAAACATAAGACGTGAATTAAACTGCTTGATTCGTTTGGATTACATTTACCATGTTTTTCCATATTTCAGAGTCAACGTAAATCAAAGTTTTGGTTGCATGGCCTTCAACGCAGGTTCAGAAATATCTCAGGATTCATTAAAAAAATGCTTGTTGCGAAGATGAACTATGAGTTGGAGTGAAATGAGGATGAGTAAAATAATTTTCATTCATTCATTTCTAATTTTAGTGGTTGTACTTAGTTACATTTTTACTACACAGTGTATCTGAATAGAGCTTATGGCTTTTTATATTAAGATATATAGCTTTTATGTGAACTCAAATGAAATGTTTGTTATTCAGTTACTCTTAAATAATTGAAGTTACATGAAAATACTAAGGTATATAAGCTGCTGTAGGGAATGCTATGAAAACTAAAGGGAAGTTTCTTGGTCTCCATACATGAAGTTTTATAGACTGACTACCAAAATATGCTGTTTGCAGTATAGAAAATAGGGTATAGCTTTACTAGGGTAACATTACTTTACAAACACAGCAGAGATTCTGGCGAGACGGACTCTCGAGATGAATTTAACATACTGTACAGCTTGTGTTACACAGGATGGGACATAGACTACACATAGAATTAATTAAATTAACAAAAAACATTTTGAGGGATTATAGATAACAGCTTATTATCTTATTATAATAACAGGTTGTTCATGAAGCTTGCACTATTTATAGATCATAGCATACATTTCTTGCAAAACATATGAGGTGCAGGATCCAAAAAAGATCCTGAGGTTTTTGTAACATAGATCTCTCAGGCCAGACAGCCAGTGTGTGCCACTACGCAACAACAAATGATGACTTATGTCAATGCAACCAGTTGAGAACGAGCCGGTAGCTTCACACTGAAAACACAGATAAGACTCCAGAATTACTTAAAAACAGGGACGGGGATTCACCATTAGAAGGTGTGTGTGCGTGTTTGCACATACCATCTAAGAAGCCAGAGGAGGTCAGCTTTTTACGGTGTGCGTGAGCGTAATCTTGTAGGTTAGGTGCGCTGGAGGAGCCACCCAGCACCATGGTGCTAAACAAGCCAGCGCAATGAGACCCTGATGGGAGTTAGAGAAGATACATACAGCAATCGGGTGCTCCAAGAGACATACCGCGCAATGCATGCAGCATGCTTTTCTAGAAGATTCTTGCCACAGAATGAGTAGTGCAGCCTCACTGAAAGCATCCCATAATGACAGTAATGTCTTTTGTCATGGCAACCTAGTAAGGCAAACTGATCCTCACTTCTAGAGGAAAAAATTAATAACACTCATCGACCTATAAGGCTTTAGGGTCACATGATGTGACATATCGAGCAATTACTGACAAAATGAATGTGTAATACACTATAACCTCCTTATTTACTACAACTGCTGTAATTATTACTGCATTACCCAATGTAGACAACAATTATCATGATTATTTTGTGATATATGTGACCCTGGACTACAAAACCAGTCATAAGGGTACATTTTTTTGCATAAATAAGCTTTCCATTGATGTATGGTTTGTTAGGATAGGACAATATTTGGCCGAGATACAACTATTTGAGAATCTGGAATCTGAGGGTGCAAAAAAATCAAAATATTGAGAAAATCTCCTTTAAAGTTGTCCAAATGAAGTTCTTAGCAATGCATATTACTAATCAAAAATTAAGTTTTGATATATTTACTGTAGGAAATTTACAAAATATCTTCATGGAACATGATCTTTACTTAATATCCTAATGATTTCTGGTATAAAAGAAAAATCTATCATTTTGACCCATACAATGTATTTTTGGCTATTGCTACAAATATACCCCAGCGACTTAAGACTGCTTTTGTGCTCCAGGGTCACATATTTCATTATTCTATTCCATAAGTGTCATATAGTTGCATTTTAACAATTAGCATTAATCTGTATTGAATCTAATTAACCTGTATTGACAGAAAACATTTTGCTGTGAAAGCCCAGAATGTATTTTGCCTTTAGGTGCACACATTTATTTTATTTTTTTTACAGCTGCCAAAAAAAATAAATGAATAAAATAAATAAAAACTTTCTCAGGTGGCAATGTTTATAGTATTTATGCAAATGTTCACCCCTTTGTAGTGTCACTCATGCTGTGAATAGTAAAATATGAAAAATCCTTTGGTATGTCACATCACAAAGTAAAAACTAAATCACACAAGCTCTCAGTTGCTTGAAAGATTTTCACTAACTTTGTGAGGACTGACACACAAAAGACTTTCTTTCTTGGTAACATGTCCATGAGCTACTTTCCCTCCCCAAACAACATCCACATTTCTGTTTTAAATGTATATGAATATATAAAGCAAAGTGAATATATAAAGCAAAGCATCTTAGATCCAGTAAATGGTCACCATTTTAAGCACCTTTTATCTTCACTGCTTTTAAACTGTCCTGCAGTATGACAATTTTTTTTTTATGAATACAAAAATAATACAATTAATTTCTATTCTAAAGAATTAAAATACACAGAGTATAGCATGTCACACCGCAGGACATCCAATTGTATTTCATGTCACTTATCCTTCTACAAATATGTATAATACACAGTAAGGAAAAATGATATGCTTCAAACCATGTTTGTGTATATATACGGCCTACAAACACACAAAGGACATTACAAGCATATATGAGAGTCAGCACTGTATTAGTCAGCTGTGTGGCAAAAATCTTAGAGCAGTGTGTTTCAGAGTTAAGCTCACAGATAGTATTACACATTCAGTTCCAATTCAGACTCAAATTAATTGGTCATTAAGTTTGAAAGTATCAAGAGAGAGCAGCCACACCAACATCACACACAACAGAGATTAGAAATGGAACGGCAAAACATTATTTGGACATGTACAACCAGTATGTCAGAGCTCCTCCATAATAAACACCCAGCAACTTTCAGGACTTTATAACATGTGACATCCGTGAGTGAACATCTTACCTATTCCAGCTGTGAGCTTGAGATCCGGGTGCAGTCTGCTGGGTCTGCTGTGGCTGTTGTTCTCTGACAGAACCTGAAAGAGCACAAGCAGACAACGATAACTGCTTAACAAAACGTCATCCTTTATTCATCAAGTAGGTATATTCCAGACAGACAGATGTTGATAAGCAGCACTGTAAATATGTGAGTTCACAAAAAAAAACCGGCATGAAGGAACAGAAATGGACCATGCGTTAAGCATTGCCACACAGACTCCATTCCATATCAGACACAGGAAATGAGATCAGGAATGCAGAAGGGTATGCATTCAAACATGGCAACAGTTTATAGAGTATTATTGAACAAATCATATTCATATGCATTCGCATTCATGTAAAACCCAACAGAGCAGGGAACAGCCCGGTTATTTTTCTGTTAAAAATTTTCATTTCAGTTTCATGCAAAACTATCTACTTTGGGGGGGAAAAAAGAGGTTATTCTAGTCACAGAAAGAGGGTTACTGGACAATAAACAGCTCGGAGGTCTCTATGCCATCCTTCATGTCTGAACAGGTTTTACCGGAGCATCAGTCTTGGTTTCCCATAAACCCTGGCAGATCAAGTCACAGATTCAGCCAAGTTCTCAACTAAAAGGATTGTCAGTGAAGACAGTGGCAACAAGAATACACTCAAGGCACACATAAAAGTTTGTTTGGCCAATCACAATGCACTGGGTCAGCTGGCCAATCAGAGCAGACTGCTCTTGTCGGAAGGAGGGACTTTGTAGAAAACGAAGCGTTTAAGAGAGGCGGGGCATAGAGGACCTACAATAATGTACACTATTTGAAAAATAATGTGTTTTTTGAACATTAAAGCATGTCAACATATTCTGTTACACCAAATACACAGAATAATGATCTTTAAAAATAGCATCATATGACCCCTTTAATGTCATAATGTCAAAGCAATTTCAATCGATCTGAAAGATTTTGTTAACAAGATAACACACTTCACAAAAAAATATTGTATGTAATTTTTTCTGGTTGTCTACAGTTCAAGTGCTGAACTATCTACAGTTACTCTCAGAAGACTTGAGGGGAATTGATTGTAGATTACTAAAAAAGCACACCGTTTCAAGTGACCGATATGTGCTTTGATATTTTTTTTTCTTAAATAAAGACATTTTTAAATGTGACTAAAGTGTCTAAATTCTTTTTGGGGCCACTATATTTAGTTGAAAACTTAAGTTAATCTGTGCCACATCTTCAACTGTGTAAGTACTTGACCGAGGTTCCCACTTTCTTATAATGTTGGGCTGCACTTTGTTTTAAGATGTCTTAGTTACAGTGTAACTATACATATAATATTAATTAACTACATGTACTTACTATATGGTTAGGATTTGGATTGGGGTTACTTGCATGTAATTATGCATAATTAATTGATATTATAATAGTAAGTACATGTAACGTAACGAGGACACCTTAAAATAAAGTGTTACCTAATGTTGTGTAAAAACGACAGGAAAACTGACATGGAACAACCCAACCAAGCAATAATATCTTGCAAAACAAAGACACAAGCATAATTATAACATGTGGGTTATAATTATTGTAAAACATAAAAAATAGTGATGCTCACTAAATGGTTAAACACCATAAAAACGTCTTTGATTTATACTCTTGCTAAGAGCTTCCTAATGAACTGTGAAAACAAGAAATGAAGATCTGGCTGAGGACAGGGACCAATGAATATTAAAAGGTGCCAAAGCAGAAGCAAACTTCTGTCCTGGAAGAGATGAGTGACGAGCACAATCCACCCGATGCATACATGATATCAGTAACACGTATCCCACAGCAGCCCACAGGTCAAATCAAGCTGTCACTGAGATGGAGCAGGATGCAAAGGACAGCTAATGGCACAGCAGATGAATGAAAAGAGTTGAGTTAGCAGGCTAAACATGGATAAAAGACAGCAGATCGGTGACGAGAGAACAATAAAATACTGAAAAGTTATCATGACATTTTTAGTTCATGGTCTGAAGGAGCAGCAAAGACCAAAAGTATCTTTTTTCATAACAAATAAGTAATTGTAATACATACAAATCTACATGGTATGACATTCGGGTTAGATTCAATCAGTCTCATAAATAATAATAGTAAGTAGTATACATAAATAACTCACAAATTTTGTACAAAATTATTTAAAACCGAATATAACATCAACCTGAAATGGCATTTGCAACCCATTTTACTTTCTTAAAATTATGTATTTCTGAGGACATTCAACAAGAAAAAAGTGTGGGGCAAGACTTGAGTTCATCCATCAGGATACACTAAAACTAAATGTAATGAACTATTTATTAACAATTAACTATTGGCAAGAATTCCGATACAAAGACTGAACCGCCTAGAACAATATCTAAAAAAAATATATATATTTTATTTATTTTTATTATTATTATGATTTTTTTTTGCAAATTTCAAAACGGAGAAACCATTGGTCTGTAAAAACAAAGCCTGGGTGTTCAGTGTTGTGACATTAATGGATATTTTTGTCTAAATAAGGAACTACCAAATTTAGTAGTAATCACAGTCAATGGAGATATTTTAAAGAAGTTAGCACAAAAACATGATTTATGTGGAACATGAAGATCATCTTCTTCAAAAACATTGTAACTAGACCAAAACTAGTAAAACTAACTGAAACGCTGACTTTCTAGAACACAAACCAGTGCATTAAATATCAACAAACACACATGATGAATGAGGTAATAGTGCTCTCTTTTAATTCATCTGCTTATTAGGTGTCCTTGCTGACCGCCTCCAAGATCTCGAGTGTGAATGAACAATACGTTAGTGGTTGGTGTGAAGAATGAATTAAATTGGTAAAAACCTGTTGCCATGAGCCAAAAATACTGGATGTGAAAGCCAGTGATTTGGGGGAGACTGGGGAGGAAGTTATTTGGTCCCCTGATCTGCGTCTTCGACGCCCAGTACCCACACCACAGGTGTAATGAATCCAGGTACCTATAGAGTCAGGGCTAGACACACTCAGGGGGCTCTCTTCCTGGAAGTGAGACAGGGGGCAGAAACAGCACAGTCATGCAACGTTAACAACAGTCCGGCGTCGAGTCCACCAACATTCACTACCAAGGCCTTTGGCTCAACAGAAGACAAACACAGCTAAGTGTGCTCATACTTTGCCAGCAGGCGTCTTGAGAAAGTCTTTCTGCAATGGGGACTAAAAAAAGAAAACAAATAAGAGACGGTGGCAGTTTTTCAAATAATACACATTTGTGGGTGAGAAAAGCTTTGAACTGAAATATGAAAGACATGCTTTTGCGCCTAAGGTATTACATAAACGCTACAAGTCTGCTAGCTGAGCTGAATGAAAACCGAATGCTTGAAACAATATCGTGTGACATTAATATAGCAGGATGTTTTAATTTTCATGTCACACTGTACAATAATTCCAACATGTCATAGAATGAGAACAAGATGCGTTTAAATTTTAGGGCGAACTATTACTTTTATTGATATTCTTTGTTTTTTTAAATATAATTTGTGTTCAAAAGGTTTGGAATGGCATGAGAAAGAATGATGACGGAACTTTCATTTTTGGGTAAAATATTCCTTCAATTTAATTTTTAAGTTCACAAGTTTCTAAGCTCTGATCAACCAATACATTGCATCGTACCTTCTGTATTTTAAACTCGATTTTGATCAAATCGATCACTTTTCAACTTTCTTTTTTACATCTCATTAAATAAGGGATAAATCATGGCTAGGTATTCATAAAATGATTATAATGCACAACATGGACTTAAAGATCCACCTGACAAATTACATTTAAGTCATAGCTCCTGAATGCTTCTGTGTGCGCGAGTGACTGTCCGTGTCCCTGTGCTTCATTGAAGGCAGTGCATTAATTTAGAACGGTGATTAAAATGACTGGAACTACTGTTCTAACATTCCAGCCAATCAGATTAGAGTATTCAGACAGACCATGGTATAATAACCGTTCTAAATTATTTCCCCATTATTAAAGAAGCAAGGGCTCTGATTATTTGGTTATTCAGTGTAAATTATAGATGGGCATTAAAGGAAAATGTAGTAGAACCATACATTTAATTATTTTTTTGGGGGGGGTTAAACTAATAAACCTAAAAAAAAGAAAACAATCATCTTTTTTTTTTTTTATCCACAGTGCAACACTGTGGATTTCAGTGTAACTTTGAGCTATAAAAAAAATATAATGAAAATTACAGTTTGTAAAGTTTAAGGACAAAATCATCACTGTTATTATATTTTAAACTATAATGCAATATGTAATTCTATAATTGTACAACATACCCAGAGCAACAACGTGCTATTTTGCTCCCATTTTGAGTAATTGTAGATACTTTAAAATTAAATGCATGAAAAAACTGAAGAAACCAAAATATAGAAATGTCAAACTGATTGCTAAAAACAAAATCCAAATGGAAAGAATTGAAAGTGAAAAGAAGGCTTTGGCATAGTAAAAGTTAAGGCCATGTAAAAGCATATTCGCATTAATAGAGATGGTGTTGAAATTGATGAAAACGGCAAGCACTTGTTCACAGCAATGTATAATGAATATGTCACAGCAATGGAAAAATATATTTTAAAAAATATATGATTCTAGCTACGCACAGCATATTCACTACAGGTGAAAAGTTTGGAAACACTGAATTTGTTTTTTGTGATCTCAAAAACCTTTGAATTTAAAAGCTTATGCTTAAATGCTTTTGTAAACAAACAAATTTGATCATATGAATGTGCTCATTTACAATAAGGTCTTAGTTGTTAACATTAGTTAATATGAACTAACAATTAAGAATACTTTTATAGAATTAATATTAATTTCAATTTTAACGAATATTTTTAAAATCAAAAGTTGTATCTGTTAACATTAGTAACTGCACTATGAACTAACATGAAAAAAACAATGAACACCTGTATTTTTTACACCTGTACTAACTACTACAAAAAATATATGGCTCATTGTTAGTTCCTGTTAGCTAATGCATTAACCAATGTTAACTACTGAAACATCACTGTAAAGTGTTACTACATTTCTTAAAAGTAATATTTTAATTAGCATTATTTAAAATAGTCTGGCATACTTGGTAACTGAGTCTGTGCAGCATGTCTCTAATGAAGCGTCATTCTTTCATTCATTAAAAAAAAAAGATATATACAAATATACACACACACACACACACACACCTACCTATGCTGTCAGACTTGCACTACATAGCGAGCATGCTTTCATTTAAATTTGCTGTAAAAATTTGAAGTCTATGTAAATAAGCCTTAACTCCTATATTCATGACTGTCACTGTCAAAGCTCAGACTCTATTGCAGCTCAGGCTCTATTGTGCAGAATACACATATGCAGCATCTATATTTGTACACATATGTAAAAGAATGTTCAACACTATTATCAGAGAAGAATAGTAATTAACTGTGAATGACTTAATTTGATTCATTTAACAAAGGTGTTTAGAGACAACATACTGTGTAAGAACTTACTTCCACAGAGCCGATCTTTTTGGAGCGGGGAAGAGGGGACTTCCTGTGGATGTAGATGGGATCGGACACCATGGGGCGGAACATCATATGAGCTCGATCCGGCTCGTCACGTTTAGCACCACCGGCCTCCTCATCACTGTCATTATGGGGTTTCTTCTTGGAGCCTTCATTCTGAGACACATTTAAAGGGTTAGTTCACCCAAAAATGAAAATTAGGCTGTGTTTTACTCACCCCAGACTGAGCCATCCTAGGTGTGTATGACTTTCTTCTTTCAGTCGAATCCAGTCGGAGTTATATAAAAAAATTGTCCTGGCTGTTCCAAACTCTATCATTGCAGTCAGCGGGCGTTGCATGCATCAGTCCAAAAGAAGTTAAATAAAAAGTGCCCATCCATAAAAAAGTGTCTCAGACGGCTCCGGGGGGTGAACAAAGTTCTCCTGTAGCGAATCAATGCGTTTTTGTAAGAAAAATATTCATATTCAAAACGAAATAATCACTTTAATCTAGCTTGCGCCAGCAATTGTACACAGAAGCAGCTCCAGGAGAAAGTCAGCTTCTAATTAGTGACCGTTGTTTTGTTTTGATCTCTCCCCTGCACTTCCACGTGCGTCACTTCTGAGCGGCGCATGCGCAAAGCCGACCTCATACTTCATTCCCCCGGAACTGCTTCTGTGTGCAACTGCTGGCGCAAGCTAGATTAAAGTGATTATTTCGTTTTGAATATGAATATTTTTCTTACAAAAACGCATTGATTCGCTACAGGAGAACTTTGTTCACCCCCCCGGAGCCGTGTGAGACACTTTTTTTAATGGATGGGCGCTTTTTTTTCATCTTCTTTTGGACTGAAGCACTGCAACACCTGCTGACTGCAATGATAAGAGTTTGGAACAGCCAGGAAAATTTTTAATATAACTCCGACTGGATTCATCTGAAAGAAGAAAGTCATATACACCTAGGATGCCTCGGGGGCGAGTAAAACACAGCTTAATTTTCATTTTTGGGTGAACTAACCCTTTAAAGGGATAGTTCACCCAAAAATTTAAATTCTGTCATTAATTGAATAAATAAAATAAAATGTCGTTCCAAACCCGTAAGACCTTCATTCATCTTCAGAACACAAATGAAGATTGTGTGCAATACAACTGAAACATTCAAGGCCCAGAAAGGCAGTAAGGACATCGTTAAAATAGTCCATGTCACAGCAGTAATGTTATTTGGCATCTGCTGCCATTCACGAGAGTACCATGATGCATGCGTGTGATCTAGAGGTCTGCTACCCGACCTGAGCCCAACGGGTCCCGAAATACTTTTGGGTTTCGGGTCGGGTTCGGGTTAATGTTTAATGAATAGCTTCGGGTTCGGGTCGGGCTCGGGTTTATAGCTAAACTAAAACTATATGCAGTAGCCTAGGCTACGCTGCTTTCATAGACGCACGCACGCACATTATAGCACACGACAACACAGCACGGAAACTTTAATTAGTAAAATAGCTTCGACAGGCTACTGACTTGCAACTTTATATTTCTCTGCAATGAGGGGGTAAAATCACTGTTTTTGAAGTAACTAAGCCTCATTGCTTGTAGAGAGAGGCGCGCAGACGCAGGTTCACACACGCAACTTTCATCCCTCTCTCTCTCTCGCGCGAATTCAAATAAATGATATAATTAATTAATTCAAATAAATG